TATTTGGTGAGAATTAGGAATTTCAATATGGAGATGTTTGCTTATAAATAGTTTTAAAGTACACTATAATATGGGACAATAAAATGCAATGGCCTCCCCCTTGGAAAAGAACCTGTAATATTTAGAGAAAAAGAAACGTGTATAGCATATTCATGAAGAAAAACTGTTGCTATAAGGAAAAAAGATTGTGTTTAATCAGGGATCAATTTTAGAATCAGAGCTTTCAGTTAAGAATGTGAGGTGTTTAAAGTGGTCATTTAAATGGGATACATTTAAAAGGAATGCTATTATCACATACTGTATTTTCAGGGTTATAGTACTACTTTGTCCTCATAGAGTTGATGATGAATTACATCTGTAAAGCAGCCTTGTGAGTAGGCAGTCATAATGCGCATGAGAATGTCAACTGACCCCATAGCTTTTGCATAATGATACTCTTTTTACCCAGTATTTTCTTTTCTTTCTTCCTTCCTTCCTATCTTCCTTTTTCTTTCTTTTCATTCTTTCCTTCTCTTTTCATTCTTTCTTTCTCTCTCTCACTCTATCCCTCCTTCCTCTTTCTTTCCTTTGACTACAACTTCCTACACCCCACTCTCATGATTTTGTAGTCATGGTGTGTTGAGAAGACTGTGAGAACAGAGGGGTTTTCTATGTCATTTGCGGGGAGAAATCACAAGATTCCGAGATCTTGTAATGATTCCAAGATCATCAGTAGTTTGTGTGGGCAGGCCATTATGAATTTATGGACCCTTTCCTCCATTAAAAAATAAAAGTTATATTTTATATCATGTTGCTATAAACACTAATATATTCCAAGCTGGATTCTTTATTGCCTGTTTACTATTATTATAATTGTGTGTTTTCTTTTTATTGAAAAGCATATGCAAAGTTCTGAAAATGAGTAAGTCAGCCTTGCCTGCTGGGAGTCTTTCTTTACCCTCCTGGTCCAAAGCATCTCAGTCCATCTTTCAGCTGAATTTCTGGAGGTTGGGTATCTGGAAGCCTACTCTAGACCCCAGAGTGTTTACTCAAATGTGACTCAAAGGCCTTTGGCCATTTGGAAGTCACTGTGGCATGCAAAAAGATAACACTGAGCTTGGCACCTATGTTAGTCTGTTTGGGCTTCCATAATATCATCCCATAGACTGAGGATAGGATATCCAAATCAGCTGATTTGACTTCTAGTGGGAGCTTACTTCCTGGATTGCAGATGGACGATTTCTCATTATGTCATCACCTGGCTTTTCTTTTCTTTTTTTTTAAACTAATTTATTTAATTGGAGGCTAAATACTTTACAATATTGTAGTGGTTTTTGCCAAACATCGACATGAATCAGCCACAGGTGCACATGTGTTCCCCATCCAGAACCACCCTCCCACCTCCCTCCCCGTCCCATCCCCCAGGGTCATCCCAGTACACCGGCCCTGAGCACCCTGTCTCATGCATCGAACCTGGACTGGCGATCCACTTCACATATGATAATATACACGTTTCAATGCTTTGCTCTCAAATCATCCTACCCTTGCCTTCTCCCACAGAGTCCAAAAAACTGTTGTTTACATTTGTGTCTCTTTTGCTGTCTCGCATATAGGGTCATCGTTATCATCTTTCTAAATTCCATATACATGTGTTAGTATACTGTATTGGTGTTTTTCTTTCTGACTTTCTTCACTCCCTACAATAGGCTCCTGTTTCATCCACCTCATTAGAACTGATTCAAATGCATTCTTTTTAATGGCTGAGTAATATTCCATTGTGTATATGTACCACAGCTTTCTTATCCATCCGTCTGCTGATGGGCATCTAGGTTGCTTCCATGTCCTGGCTATTATAAACAGTGCTGTGATGAACACTGGGGTACACGTGTCTCTTTCAATTCTGGTTTCCTTGGTGTGTATGCCCAGCAGTGGGATTGCTAGGTCATATGGCAGTTCTATTTCCAGTTTTTAAAGGAATCTCCACACTGTTCTCCATAGTGGCTGTACTAGTTTGCATTCCCACCAACAGTGTAAGAGGGTTCCTTTTTCTCTGCACCCTCTCCATCACTTATTGTTTGTAGACTTTTGGATAGCAACCATTCTGACCGGCGTGAGATGGTACCTCATTGTGGTTTTGATTTGCATTTCTCTGATAATGAGTGACGTTGGGCATCTTTTCATGTGTTTGTTAGCCATCTGTAAGTCTTCTTTGGAGGAATGTCTGTTTAGTTCTTTGGCCCATTTTTTTGTTTGGGTCATTTATTTTTCTGGAATTGAGCTGCAGGAGTTGCTTGTATATCTTTGAGATTAATTCTTTGTCAGTTGCTTCATTTGCTATTATTTTCTCCCATTCTGAAGGCTGACTTCTCACCTTGCTTATCGTTTCCTTCATTGTGCAAATACTTTTAAGTTTAATTAAGTCCCATTTGTTTATTTTTGCTTTTATTTCCATTACTCTGGGAGGTGGGTCATAGAGGATCCTGCTGTGATTTATGTCAGAGAGTGTTTTGCCTATGGTTTCCTCCAGGAGTTTTATAGTTTCTGATCTTACATTTAGATCTTTAATCCATTTTGAGTTTATGTTTGTGTATGGTGTTAGAAAGTGTTCTAGTTTCATTCTTTTACAAGTGGTTGACCAGTTTTCCCAGCACCACTTGTTAAAGAGATTGTCTTTTCTCCATTGTATATTCATGCCTCCTTTGTCAAAGATAAGGTGTCCACAGGTGTGTGCATTTATCTCTGGGCTTTCTATTTTGTTCCATTGATCTTTATTTCTGTCTTTGTGCCAGTACAATACTGTTTTGATGACTGTAGCTTTGTAGTATAGTCTGAAGTTAGGCAGGTTGATTCCTTCAGTTCCATTCTTCTTTCTCAAGATTACTTTGGCTATTTCAGGTTTTTTTGTATTTCCATACAAATTGTGCAATTATTTGGTCTGGTTTTCTGAAAAATACTGTTGGTAGCTTGATAGGGATTGCATTGAATCTGTAGATTGCTTTGGGTAGTATACTCATTTTCACTACATTGATTCTTCCTATCCAGGAACATGGTATATTTCTCCATCTATTTGTATCATCTTTGATTTCTTTATGATTTTTCTTTAGTATAGGTACACACACACACACACACAAAATCTCCTTTTCTTCCTGTTCTTATAAGGCCATTAATCTCATCATGAATGCCCTACCTCATGACCTCATCTAACCCTTATTAAACTCCTAAAGGCCCTATTTCCAAACACCATCACAATGGGGAGGGGGTTATTTAGGACTTCAATATACAAATTTTGGGGGTAAGCATTCAGCTCATAACTTCCCTGTCCAGTCTGTACACCATTTTCTTGTATTCCAATACAGGGAAAAGACACATTCATGGTATATGAGACAGGACAGTGAGGTGAAGTAGAATAGGCCTTTGGGGTCAGTCCTTAACCAGGGGCAAGTTGTTTAAGCTTTCTCTCTGATCTGTGATTGGAATAGTCATTGCTATCTTCAACTCCTAGGATGTTGTGAATTAATATATGCAGAAAACCTTAGATGCCTAGTACATCTTTTGTGTTCAAGAATTGGTTCCTGTTGTAACAATATACATTCTTGTAGTAGGCTGATATATGTTTTTCAAAATCAGTAGAGCTGTGTGTGCCAATATGATAGATATGGTAGGAATGATCAAGAAATAGTTTTAAGTGAAACAAGAAAAATAGTGATTATCTATTGTGCTTAAAAATCCATATTTATATGTACCGATACATACATAATAGTGATATATATATATATATATATATATATATATCCATGTGTATTTTTGTAAAAGAGCAATTATTTTTGCTTCTCATGGAAAACGTGATAAAATAATGAAAGAAACCACTGACTATTTCCAAGGAGTGGAACTTAGGGTTTGCTGCAGGAAAGAAACTCACCTTTCATTGTGCACTCTTTTGTTATCTTTCAGTTTTTTGTATTATTATCACACATTTCAGAAAGTTCCATTTTCTCTCCTTAACTTCTTCCCTACTGCCATTTTCATATTATTGTTTATATTTTCCATTTTCTATGTTTTATTTTATTCACAGGCACAGAAATATTCAGTTCAGTTCAGTTCAGTTGCTCAGTCGTGTCCGACTCTTTGCGACCCCATGAATAGCAGCACGCCAGGCCTCCCTGTCCATCACAAACTCCCGGAGTTTACTCAAACTCATGCCCATCGAGTCGGTGATGCCATCCAGCCATCTCACCCTCTGTCGTCCCCTTCTCCTCCTGCCCCCAATCCCTCCAAGCATCAGGGTCTTTTCCAATGAGTCACTCTTCACATGAGGTGGCCAAATATTGGAGCTTCAGCTTCAGCATCAGTCCTTCCAATGAACATCCAGGACTGATCTCCTTCAGGATGGACTGGTTGGATCTCCTTGCAGCCCACCAGTTAACTAATAATAACTAATAATTAGGAAAGGTCTAAAATCAGTTGGCAGGTCTTTAGGATGATAAAATATTATTGTTAAAATACTGAAGCTATATTTATTACGATTAATTGCTTGTTGTGATTATAATGAATATTTTCCACAAGGCCCTCATAATTTTCAAATATTTTTATTTTCTTCATTTTCTTTAATTAATTTGAAAAAAACATGCTTTAGTAAAAAAAAAGGAAAAGTTTAATTAAAACATTTAAATCTTGGCAATATACCTACACTGTTAATTTTTAATTTTTATTATGATTACTTTAAAATTATATAGGATATGAGTTCCTAAAACTTGAAAATTACATGTGATTTATAAGAATATCTATGAAATATTTTCTCTTAGTCTCCTATTTCTGTACATTTTTGGTTTATTTCTGATTCATCTGGTGTTTTCTTAGACTACTACATTGCTATCATATATTAAAACTTTAGCTGTATTTTATGTACTTATATCATCTTCCAGAACATATTTTGAAAGTATCATGCTGAGGTTTCTTTTTGAAGAGAGCAGGAAGAATCATTTTGTTATAGGAGGCATCATAATGCTAACCATTATCTGAAATCAGACAAGACTCCCAATAGGCAAACGAGGCAGGCACATGTAAGCTTGAGGAGTTTTGCTGAGATTGATAGGGTTTCCATCCAGTCGAATATCCTCTAATGCCTTACGAATATAAGTCAAATTTTTAACATTGCAGAAGGTATCTTCATGCATCTCCAGAATGTTGTTATTCTAAAAAAGGTTAAGATAAATTATTAGATGAGTTATCATCTATTCTTTGTATTGATTAATAATATAGTCCATTTTGCTCCACCTCTGCTTTTACTCTTTCATTCCTTCTCTCATCCGGAAATGCACATTATGCAATTATTATATACGTCAACACTTTCTAAGCAGTGAGGATAAGCCAATAAACATAAGAAATATATGCTTGCCTTTATGGAGCTTATACTTCAGTAATGGGAGTATAAGATAATGAGATGAAAAAGCAAATTTAAAGAAAACAATTTATTTCCAAAAATAATCTGAACTAAGAAGAAAGGAAAGTGTCTGTGAAAACTTACCTTAAGAGACAGCAGTGGAGCTGAGAATGGAATGAGAAGGAGGCAGGGGCATGGGAGACAGCTGAGGCAAGAATGTCCCAGACAGAGAGAATGTCAAGTTCAAATTCTGAGTAATATGCAGAGAAAGTTCAAGAATGAGGAAAAAAAATGTCAAAATGGCTGTTGGGTTGAAAGGTTTGTACGTGACTGTTAGGGCTTGTTAGGGCTGTTAGTGTTGCTCAAGTCTTCTGTTTCTCAGTATATCTTATGGCTAGTTGTTCTATCCACTAATGAAAGTGGAATATTGAGGAATCTATTATTGTTGAATTGTCTTTTTCTCCCTTCAATTCTAATAGTGAAGTCCTTATAAATTTTGAGGCTTTGTCGTTAGGTACATATGTATTTATAACCCTTATATCTTTCTGATGGATTGACTATTTTACAAAGTGTCCATGAGAAATAATATAGATTTAGTGCCTATGCACTATTCTATTTTCTTTGATAGGTAATAGATACTCAGTTAATAATTATCATGCCTTATTTTTAAGTCATTATCATGTATCAGTGAATGCAGCACCCACTTTATAAACTAAAACTGAGATGCAGGGAGGTTTAGATATTTGTTGAATCATTAAATAGTGTCAAGTAGAATTTCAGCCCAGGGAATCTGCTTTTGCCAGATCTGTCATTCTTATAGTATGTTGGAAAATATTTTTCAAATGAATCACAAAAAGAGATTTTTATAAGAGCATTAAAAATAAATATAAAAATGAAGACAATGTAAATTAAAAACAGCTTTATACTAGATATTGGTGAGGTGATTGTGAAAGAGAAATATTTTTAAATGTTCACTTGATACTTTTTTAAACCTTAGAATAGGGAATATAAAGCCAATCACTTAAAAAAAAAAATCTTGGATTGCAGGCACATTATGTTTAAATATAACATCAGAGACCTGGTTACTCTGTAGACTCAATATCATCAGACAGTAGTAATGAAATTTAATTCAGAATTTGAAAAAAATTTCCAGTTCCTTTTGTGGTTCCCTTGAAAATCCTCTTTCTAATCCTAAACCAGGCAAGAATTTCTCATTGACATAGATATTCACCCCCAGAAAAAGACCAATAGAGAGCCATCCAGAAACCAGATAAGGGCTAGAAAGGGCATCACATTAAGGAAGTTAAATAGTCAGAAAAATTCTCAAGAGATAGATATCTAAGAGTCATAGACAGAAACACGCAGAAAGACACCAGAAAGAAGTATGGAAAGATGTAAATAGGGATGGAAGAAAAGACACAGAAGTAAATAATTACAGAATCCACAGAGTAAAGAAGAAAGAATCAGACTTGCTCTCACATAGCAGAATCACTTCTTGTGATGGTTTATACTTTTCATCCTAACAGACTGTAATATTGCACTACGATATTGTGTCTTTGAGCATATAATGGTTATGTTCTCCACAGATTTATTCCACAGAACAGATGAAATTATTACAGAATATTAATTACAACTGTATACCAAACGTTACATCTGAAATAAGAAGTAATTTATCTTTCTTTGTTTCAACAACCAAAAGTGTTTTTTAATTGATCATATTGTAATATACTTCAATGGAATATATTTGGTTGGCCAAAATTTGTTTGGGTTTTTCCATAACATCTTACAGAAAAAAACATGAACAAACTTATTGGCCAACCCAGTATTTAGAAAATATTAGATCGTAACATTTTGAAAATGTGTTTTCACTCGTTACTTCAAAAATAAAATGTAGCTTAAAGGAGCTTAAAATAACGCAAGCTTTCAAATATGTTGGTTTAGAAAAAACTGCATTTTCTTAATCCAGAGAAATGAAAGTCCATCATCTCTCAACAGATAGGAATGTCCTAGGATTGACTTTAACTCAGTTCATGGAACCTAAAATCAGGAGCTAAAACTGACATTTTTTTCCCTCTGGAAGCTAGAAATCAAATTAAATTTTTCTTTCTCTCTTGTTCTCTTCCATTTCTAATCTTCACACATTTCTTCAGCAGATGAAGCTCTTATTTTCTAAAAAAGAAGATTTGTGTGCCAAAAAGATGCATTATGAGGTGGCAAAGAATGAAAATAAAGACTAAAGTTAGTTATCAGAAATAAATCAGTATAGATGAGTCATGAATGTGCAGACAGCTTGTACTCAGAGTGAGAGAGAGAATAAATGAGAGAGAGAGAAAAAAAAAAACTATCACAGTGTATAACATGCCATCATACAGCTTTTGCATCGTGGCTTCTCCTGTCTGCATCCGTTTTCCATGGATGTGTTGGACATAACTTACTAGTATTAGCCTACCTGGAGATGAAGGGCCCTCAGATTTTCTGGGAGTGGTAGCGGGATGTGGTCCAAGTTGTTATCCGTGAGGTAGAGATGATGGAGATCGTACATATCCTGTAAACGTTCCAAGTGTAGGGCCTTAATAGAAATTAGTGGTGCCACAGTCATACGGTTCATCCCCTGTTTATGAAACTATTTGTAAAATAACACATGCCTGTTTAGGTCTTGTTTCCTAAGTGAGTAAAGTCGCTCAGTTGTGTCTGACTCTTTGCGACCCCATGGACTGTAGCCTACCAGGCTTCTCCGTCCATGGGATTTCCCAGGCAAGAGTACTGGAGTGGGCTGCCATGCTTTCTAAAGTCGAGGCAAATTAGTTTTCTCTGTTCCTGGACAATTCAAATGAGTTCCACAAGAATTGATAGGAAGCAAGTATCTCTCGATGTAAATGAAACATCTTTGTTAGTCTCTGGAAGAACCTACTTTGTCCACTCTAACTTTCTCAGTTTAAGCAAGGCATTGATTTCCCACATAGAGATTCTGCAATAAAATTTTGAGGATTATGGTGGGAAATAACAAGAAGTTCCTTCATGTTACAGGAATGGGGAAATGAGAAATTCTCCCCGAGAAAATCCTACCGTCTCCAGCGCAAGTAGCAAGAGGGCACCCTAGCAAGACAGAATATACGTTTAGATACGACCAGGTCTACACCGACCAAATGTCACAGGACAACTGTGACTCACTGTCACCCGTGCCAATAGACTCTGAGTGAGGGGACTAGATTTGATCTTTGCCAGGCTCTGATGAGGTGCCCTAACTCCCTTGCCTGCCACAGTGGTGTTGCAGGAGCACTAGTGGAAATACAGGCTTTCTACCATTGCCCAGGGCTAGTGAATGAATCCACACAACCCCTTGTAGCCTCCATGGAAGTTGTGAGATGTCCCTTCAAACAGTAGCTTAAATTTATTTGTTCAACAGATATTTAGAGAAGCAACTCGAAGGGAGTTAAGACTGGGTAAGAAAGCCAAACTGGTTACTGTTCTCAGACTCTCTGCGGTCATGCCAAGCAAAGCCATTCTAACCCCAAATTTGTTTCCTTCACTTGGAAAACAAAATTCATAAGATTAACTGAATCCATCCCCCTTACAGATAATTTAGAAGGCTTCTACCCTCAAGGCATCACCCACACTCTGTACAAGTAACTGTCCTTCCAACCACACAAAATACTGTCCTTGAGTGGAGCCTTGGTAAATATGAATCATTTGGCTTATAGCATTGCTAAGTGCAACTTAACAGACTGGTGCTCCACCCACTTCTTATTCCAGCTCTGCTTTCTCTTCTTAGTTCTTGAGCAGCTTCAGAATGTACCAGTATTTCCCAGAGGCATGACACATAGTGTTCTAAAGTTTACTTTAGGCATTAAAAGTCTCATCAAATTGAATCCCTTTGTGGAAATAAAAAGGCTAGACACTGATAGCAAAGGGAGCAGGAAGATTAAAGTATTTCATATTCAAACTTAAAACTCACTTTAAATGCTTCTTGCTTTATTCCTTTCCTTCCAAGTCTATTGTTGCTGATGTCAATAAATCTCAAAGTGGTTGGCAATTCTGGGAGCTGCCTAATTTTGTTGTCACGCAGGACAAGCTCTCGGAGTTGAGGCAGCTTTCTGAATGCATCTTCATCAATCTCAGATATTAAGTTTGATGTCAGATCAATCCTTCTTAGATCATCTGGAAAAAAAAAAAACATGAGAGAAGTAGTTGAACATGTTTCACTCACATAAAAATATAAATATAAAATTTCCCACATATAAACAAATATAGGCATGAATTAGCAATAGTTAATGAAACAATTATTTCTAACAACTTTATAAAAGCTTAATAGACTGCAGCTGCTGCTCAGTCATGTCCGACTCTTTGCAACCCCATGAACGATAGCCCTTTAGGCTCCTCTGTCCATGGGAGTCTCCAGGCAGGAACACTGGAGTGGGTTGCCATTCCCCCCTCCAAGGTATCTTCCTGACCCAGGGATTGAACCCCTGTCCCTATGTCTCCTGCATTGGCAGGCGAGTTCCTTACTACTGAACCACCTGGATTTCCTCCAAATACTATTCATATTTAGGTACTCCAAAGAAAGTGTAGCCTTAGCAAAGAAATGGACACATTATATTTCATTCTATTTAAAATAATTGGTCTTTTTCCTATATTCCTCATAAATTTTGTCTGGATCTCACTATTTAAAATATTTTTTTCTCCATGCTGGTAGATTATTATATTTTCTAACAGTAATAGATGCATTAGCATGAAAATACACAGGCATTAAAAGAAATTTTCAAATGATAAAAACACTTAATGAAGACAAATACCAACTTTCTTCAAAGTTGGCAACAATCATAAGGTCAGAATTTAGATTTGCATTCATCAATTATAAAGCAATTGTGCTTTTTTTTTAAATTGTGCTTCAATGGAAGTCTATTTGAACAAGCCAGATCCTACTAAATATATGGTCATGACTTTCTGCTCTTATTGTGATAATGTGATAATGTTTTAGCCTATAAAGTATAATTATTTGTGATTTTTGTTTACTTGAAAATAGTTTGAGAATATCAACAACTATATAGTTTCATGTGCATAAGTCACATCACTTCAATAGTGTCTGACTCTTTGTGACCTCATGGACTGGGGACTGTCATGGGGATTCTCCAGGCAAGAATACTGGAGTGGGTTGCCATGGCTTCCTTGGGGGGACCTTCCCTATGCAGGGATCGAACCCATTTTTTTAATGTCTCCTGCATTGGCAGGCAGGTTCTTTACCACTAATGCCACTTGGAAAATCCATATAGTTTCATAACGACCTTTAATGATTCATCATTCTTTCTTATTGTAATTAAAACAAACCTTCAAGCATACAAATAAGTAAAAATTGATTTATGAGACATATTTTGATATTTATGTTTCATTTTCAGTGCCAACATTTTATAATGCAAACATTTAAGAAACAAAAAGGAAGGATATCAGTGCCAGCATCCATACTTAGGCTTGCAAAATCATTTTTGTTGATCTTTTTAATTCTGTTAAAACGGGAATAGAAATAAGCTGTGTTCTTGGGCAGTGGAGGAATAGCATCAAGTTCGTGGTCATCACAGTATACGGTGGTACTTATACAAGTACACAGAAGGCAGGTTGGAAAGTCTAAAAGAGAGGCAAATAATATATGTAAGCAACAGGCAATTTCTAACAAATAATGTGATTACAAATGTTTATTAAGCAAGATTACAGTCTCATATAGAGTATTCTGGAATATTTAATATCTTATGTAGTTTTCTATAAATAGAATACTAAAGTCAAATATAACAACTCAGGCTGCCCCAATAATGAATATATTTGTAATATTTTAAAATTTTATTTTAAATTATTTACTGAATATAGCATGATTGTTGCTTTTATATTTCTTGAAAATTCTACTTTCAGAAGTAAATATTAAGATTGTGTATAAATTTAAAACATCACATACAATATTTTTATTCTATCTTTCATTCAGTATTTAAACACGCCACTGAAATAAAATCAAGGGAAAAGGTAGGGCAATTATCATTATTAATTCACTCAATATGCATTTATTGAATCTATTCTATGTAAATTGCCCTGTGCTAGCCAGTGAAACAGTGCACAGAGACACAGTTCTGTTTCATGATCTGCTATGTAAGATGGATGTTAATCACACAAATAAAATGATGATTGTGGTAAATGTCATGGAATATCATAGAGGCATGCAATAGGAGAATGTGATCCAGTCTGAGAGTCATGGTTCTTTGAGGAGGTGATAACTGAGTTGAAATCTGCAGGAAGAGCAGGACCTGACTGTTGAGGTGAGCGGAAAGAGTCTGCAGGCAGAGGACGCGGCACATGCCAGCTCCCTTCACTCTGGGGGAACTGAAAGGCGGTCCTGTAGCTACGGCACAGAAGCATTGGAATGTGTAGGATGCAAAACACACAGGCCTTATGGGCTTGTTACAGGTTTTGTCTCTTGTCCTAAGAATGGGCAGGAGTATTACATGACCATATTTGCTTCTTAAGATATCACCCTGCTTGAAGGTGAGCTGGAAGACTGATTGATGGGGGGGGAGGGGGGTGGGGCGGAGTGGGATGGGCATAGGGGCAATGAGTTATCAAGATAAGAGATGGTGCTTGCTTGGCTATGATAATGCGATAGAAAAGGCAACAGATCCCCCCCTAAAAAATTTAAGTTATATTACATCTCCATTTATTTATCTATTCTCTCTCTCAGTCACACACACACACACACACACACACGTAAACACAGCCCCCTCCTTCACTCTCTGCTTATTGCTTTTATTGGTCTTATAGAGGACAGAGAGCTTCTAAGGGAGATAGAGAAGCAATGGTCAGAAGAAAAGAAGGATAGTAGATGGTCAGTATTATGGAGGCCAAGTGGAGAGAGAGTCTGAAGGAACAGGGAATAGAAAATAATCTAAATCTGCTGAGATGTCATTCTCTTGGAGTAGTTACTATGGAGGTTATAGGAGACTTCGGTAAGCGCTGTGGAGTGATAAGGCCGGAAGCCAGATCACAGTCCCTGAAGGAGGATGTAGGAGGTGAGGAAACAGTTACAGAACGTGCAGACAATGTTTCTGAGATGTTTGACTGTAAACAAAAAGGAAAGAGAGATAGTGATAACTATAAGACATCTTTGTAGTGTGCATGATGAGGAAATGGACTAAAGTGGGAGAGATTTGAAGAAAAGCATCCAAAGGGAGAGAGATTGAAAGTGAAAAGGGCAGCAGGAAATGGAACCAACAACACAGTGGGAAGCATTTACATCCCACACGAGGGAGCGCAGACAGTGCCTCTGTTGTAACAGGAGGAAGGGGAAGAGGCGAGGATGTCTGTCAGGCAGTTCGGTTGCTCAGTCTTGTCCGACTCTTTGCAACTCCATGGACTGCAGCATGCCAAGCTTCCCTGTCCATCACCAATTCCTGGAGGTTGTGCAAACTCATATCCATCAAGTTGGTGATGCCATCCAACCATCTTATCCTCTGTTGTCCCCTTCTTCTCCTACCTTCAACCTTTCCCAGAATCAGTTTCTTTTCCATGAGTCAGTTCTTCCCATGAGGTGGCTAAAGTATTGGAACTTCAACTTCAGCATCATTCCTTCCAATGAATATTCAGGACTGATTTCCTTTAGGATGGACTGGTTGGATCTCCTTGTTGTCCAAGGGACTCTCAAGAGTCTTCTCCAGCACCACAGTTCAAAAGAATCAATTCTTCGGCACTCGGCTTTCTTTATGGTCCAGCTCTCACATTCTTACATGACTACTGGAAAAACCATAGCTTTGACTATACAGACCTTTGTCAGCTAAATAATGTCTCTCCTTTTTAATATGCTATCTCCCATAACTTTTCTCCCAAGGAGCTAACGTCTTTTAATTTTATGGCTGCAGTCACCAAACGCAGTGATTTTGGAGTCCAAGAAAATAAAGTTGGTAACTGTTTCCATTGTTTCCCCATCTATTTGCCATGAACTGATGGAACTGGATGCCATGATCTTAGTTATTTGAATGCTGAGTTTCAAGCCAGCTTTTTCACACACCTCTTTCACTTTCATCAAGAGGCTCTTTCTCTTTCTTCAATTTCTTCCATAAGGGTGGTGTCATCTGCGTATCTGATGTTATTGATATTTCTCCCAGCAATCTTGATTATATCTTGTGCTTCATCCAGCCCAGCATTTAACATGATGTGTTCTGCATATAAGGGTGACAGTATACAGCCTTAACGTACTCCTTTCCCAATTTGAAACCAGTCTGTTTTTCCATGTCTGGTACTAACTGTTTCTTCTTAACCTGCATGCATATTTCTCAGGAGGCAGGTCAGGTAGTCTGGTATTCCCATCTCTCTAGGAATTTTCCCGTTTGTGGTGTCCACACAGTTAAAGCCTTTGGTATAGTCAATAAAGTAGAGATAGATGTTTTTCTGGAAATCTCTTGCTTTTTCAATGATCCAATGGATGTTGGCAATTTGTTCTCTGGTTCCTCTGCCTTTTCTAAAACCAGCTTGAACATCTGGAAGTTCATGGTTCATGTACTGTTGAAGCCTGGCTTGGAGAATTTTGAACATTACTTTGCTAATGCGTGAGATGAGGGCAATTGTGCGGTAGTTTGAGCATTCTTTGGCATTGCCTTTCTTTGGGAGTGGAATGAAAACTGACCTTTTCCAGTCTTGTGGTCACTGCTGAGTTTTCCAAATTTGCTGGATGTAGATGGAAATGTATGTAAAATATGTAGGGCGTGGATATAGATGTAGGTAAATTATGTGTCTGAAAATAGAAAGACTAAAGAGCTGTTGACCTGAAGACTGTATTTTCTTTGTGTAAGAGGAAGCTAAGCTCTCTGACTAGTTTGAGGAGTTTTGGGAGAAGGAGAGAATGGTTGTGAGATGTGAGATGGATGGAGAAAGTAAAATAGCCATGAGAGACAGGAGAAAAAAGTGATGGAAGATTTTCTTGGGATTGCTTGGTGATCCTCATTTAGCTGAGATTTTGCTGGTTTTAGCATTGGAAGCCTCGTGTCTTGGGATCCCTCACTCCCAGGCAAATCAGGACATTTGGTTGCCCTTGTTGAAGGATCCATTTGTGGTTTGAAGATCAAGAATTAGTAATGCACCTAGTAGGGTCTTATTCTTGTTGTTGTTTAGTTGTTAAATGGTGTCTGACTCTTTGCAACTCAAATCTGACCCAGGGATTGAACCCAAGTCTCTTGCATTGCAGGCGCATTTTAATGATTTTAATTATAGAGTTAGGATTCCCAAGAAAACAATGTCATTAAATAGAAAAAATCACTTATAACAACTTTAGGAATGAAAGCTATTTTAGGAATGGAAGTTTGGGAAAAAATTTTAAGGGAGAGCTATAAAATATTTAATACTTGCTAATTTCTCATTCATTATTATAAAATGAATATTTTCTCTTTATCACAAAGTTTCAAGAAGAAAAGCATTTCATTCTTCTATATATTCATGGCCATGCTAATTTAGCAATAATTGCTTAGAATAATTATATATAGTCACAGCAGTTGTTTTTAATTCTAGCTTTTTTCACTTATAACTCAAGCCTACTCAATGTAGCTTCTGAATATTATTTCTAGAAATTGATATTTATAGTAACAAATAATGTTTTGGTTTTTAATGTTTTAAATATTTCCAAACTATTTGACATAAATCAATTTACGATTTACGTTTAAGTTTTAAAGTTTAGAATTTACGTGTGTGCAAAGTAAAATGTGAACTAAAATTTTTAATTTCATTACTTAGACTCCTTTAAGAAACAAATTTTTTAAGTCATAATTTTTCTTACATTTTTAAAAAATTTACATTATTGAGCCATAAATTTTACTAGAGCTTTTCATTGGGCATTCTGCTTCTCTTAGTCTTGGCACATCAGGTAATTCCAAATCAGTCAACTTTTGAAAGCTCTGAAATTACTTAAAAGTAAGTAGTGTTCTAGAGATATTTAATTTCCCTGTTTTGAGGACTTTCTGCTGAGTATGCACATTTCCTTCTCATTGTGTGTGTATCTTCCTGGTTCTGTTTTTAGCATGTTTTATCACCCCACAGAAAGTTGACTATGTGGAAAGACTGTGATGTATTCATTAAAGACAGGATTTAGTGCTTTCTGCCTTCATTCCGGCACCATTACATACCACCTCCATGATCTTGGACCACTTTTATGGTATTTGGAATTTTAGTTTGCCTATTTATAAAGTGAAAATAATAATAACTAGCATGTACTTAGTACTATTGTGTCTCTTCAAAGACACAATATAAAACACTTTAGGGACTGGCATATTGGCAGCATTTCACAAAAGACAGCTTTTCATAGGACTTCTTAGTGAATAGTGAGAAACTCATAGAATTAGGGAGTACATTGGTGATTACCAGGGACGGGGGGCAGCAGGAAATGGTTTCAGGTGTGTAAAATGAATTATGTTCTAGAATCTGCTTACAACACAGTGCCTGCAGTTAATGTATCGAACACTTAACAATTTGTTGAGATTAAATAAAAAATAATTCTCTTCTATCAATAATAATGAGAATCACTAACACTGATGATGTTTACTGTGGGCCAGGCACTAAATTTATTCAGTTAATCCTTGCAACAACTCTATGAGGTAACATCTATTACTTATTATCCCATTTTCTAGTTGAGGAAGCAAAGACAAAAAAATATTGAATGCTTTGCTCAAGACAATACATTCAGCAAATCTGAAAGCGGGGATCTGAATGCTCTTTCCTCTCTTTTGTTCTCTCAGCGTGTTCTGTACAAACTTTTTCTTATATTACCTGTAACACTTACTGTCTCTAAGTTGGTTTACATGTCTGTCTCTCTGTACTAGACAGAAATATCTGTGAAAATAGTAGTCATTTAAAGATGTTTTGTATATCCAGAACTTACAGTACAGAGACAGATGCTAAGTAAACCTTTGCAATGGAAACTGTTCATTTTTTCTGCACCCCCTCATCAGAGCACACACATTCTCCATGTAAGTAAAAGTATTCTAGTGTGAGTCTACTTGAATACCTCCCAAGGTTGACACTGAAAATTCTTACATGAAATATAGACAAACCGTAGACTCACATTTAGCACCAGGAATTCCTTTTATGACCCAAAAGGCCCTGGTTTACATAACTTTCAGGTCCTACAAAGTGGAGTCCAATATTATGGAACCCTGTCTTCCCTTTTCCTTTCTCTGCTCCTAGGACTGAGTGGAAAGGCAGCCTGGTTCCCACTAAACTACACACTCAAGAATCAGAACAAGCTTGCTGATGCTCTGTGATCTCTTTCTGAGCTAGTTTCTTAAGAATGTAAAAAAAAAATATGAATACTAATACCTTCACAGGGAGGTTGTAGTAATCACATGAGATAATGTGACATGCTGAGCATTATGGCCCCCAGAAAGTGTGTGCTTAATCAATGGGGAAACATTATTACTACCGTCACCATCATCGACACCATCATCACTTATCTCTTTGAAATCCTGGGACCTGATCTCTAAGCCATGGATTCTGATCTTGCTAATAGTGTATCCTTTGGTCTAGAAATGCATTCCACCACAAAGCTTTTTGAGTAATGATACCAGACAAATATTTTCACCCCAGATCTTTGGTTATTTGATCATTTCCATCATGCCAAACTTCATTATTAAAACTGCTTTATATTTTAACACAAAATACGAGTGTATCTCCTGCTTCACACCTAGCCTCTAGCAAAGCTTTCTCCTTGGGTCATGTGGGTCCCTGCAGAGTTGGAACTTGGCAGTTTTGAGAAATGGACAAGTGAACGTCACTACAATCCAGCTGTGATGGACCTGACCTTCATTGGTCTGTGGACCCAGAACCCCGGTGAATTCAGGCTCTTGTGGGGAAGAACCATAGATCAGCCTGGGGGTAGATTCCTCTTCCTCTTCCTCTTCAGCCTCCTCTGGCTGTGGGGGCGGGGTGAGGAGCTCTCTGTTCCCGGAAGGCATCACTGTCGCTATTTCAATCTAAAAAAGAAGCAGAATTTCATCAGGCGACCTTCTCAATCACCCTTTGTGGCAGACACAAATTAAAAAATGTATCCATCTTTGCCACAAGAGGTCGCTGGTGTCCTGAAGTTGAACACTGTGACGCCTGCTTGCCTCGGAAGGCACATGCGGTTCCTGTTTTGTTTTTAATTAATTTTGTCCCTCAAATCTTAGTAATAGTTTCCAGTGCCTTTTAATTTTGGTCTTATTGATCTTTCAAACACCCGCGTGTGTTTATTTCATAGGTTTAAAAATAACCTTGTTTATTGTTTTCTAAATACATAGTGTTGCAAGAATGCCTTATTGTGAAAGATTCCGAGAGTAAAATCTGAAATTCCCCTTCCTCCTGCAGCCCCAATTCGACTCCCAATAAGAAACTGATGTGTATTTTCAAGTCCTTTTAGCCTCTGATTTTCTAGATTCAAATATTCTGTTCCTTTACAGGGACTTACACTTCCTTCAGTTGCATTTTTAGTGAAAAGTATCCTTTATGCTAAACTAAAATATGTAAAGGTGTAAAAACTACATGATTTGATCATGGAATGCCATTTCTCATATACTTTCACTATTATTTGAATAACCAATATTACCAATAATATTGGGATATTAAAATTGACCTTCTTGAGAGCTTTGACAATACAAGGCACTTTAGTAAATCCCTACCTCCCTACCCTAACTTCCTGCTGACCTTGAAACTTTGGGTGAGAAATTTGCTCAAGACAATTGGTTGTCAACATGCAGGAACTGGCTCAGAGGTAAAGAATCCACCTGCCAAGCAGGAGACACAGGAGACATGAGTTCCCTCCCTGGGTGGGGAAGGTCCCCTGGAGGAGGGCATGGCAACCCACTCCAGTATTCTTGCCTGGAGAATCCTGCGGACAGAGGATCCTGGTGGGCTGTAGTCCATGGGGTTGCAAACAGTGAAATACAACTGAGTGACTCTACCCGCTCACAGGCTTATGTAGGAAGAATCCTTAGAGGACTAGCTTTTTCATGGCACCCTAGAATTTCCCAAGTTTCCCTTTATCACCTTGATTTTTTTCATCCTTCTTTATCTGTTTTCATTCAACACATACACACACAAATTACTTTCTAACTTATTTAATGTCAACATGATATGCAAGCTATTTCTTTCATGTTTGAAATATGAAATATGTAAAATAAATACATAATTAGACTAGATACTTTGAGTATTTTAGATAGTTGTTTCAGATTATTTTAAAATTTTATGATAGACTTATGATTTCATGTCACTTTTATACACTTGAATACATTGCTTCACAAATGAAAATTACCCCTTTAAAGGAAACAAAACTATTTTTTGGTCAACTTATTTTTTTGGATTTTGTCTCCTGTGCATCTGTAGTTTCTCCATTTCAGCCCTTCCTGCATTGTATGGTATTGATTCCATCGGTTTTTTGCCAACCCAAGACTACTCTATGGTACACTTTGAGTTAGGTCTTCTATCTTTGCACCCCAAGGCTGTAGCATAGTAGGTGATCAACAAGTGCTTATTGATTATAATAAAAAAAATTTGCTTGTCCAAAATATATCTAATTCACAGCACCATGCTTAGTTTTAGACATTTCGCTAAGAAAAATCAACGAAGGTATTAAAGCTTACTTTATTGCATTTAAAGCATGAAAGCAAACCTAAAGCAAATTACAGTATATTGGGTGCATTAGGAAGCCATACATGATATTGTAAAACATGTCCAGAAATCTCTGCTTGAGAAGATTGGGCACACTTCCTTAAAATGAGAAACATATGGTTTCCATCTGCAGGGTCAGAAGGAGGCAGTTTCAGAAGGAATGGATTTACAGAGACACCAAAAGGAGGTTCTGGGAAGAACGGAAATTGAGACAGATGTTTCATGGAATGGAGGCAGCCTAAAGGGAGAAACACATTCCAGACACGTTGCCTTGAATCTTTAGCTTTGTAGAAAAATGTTTGTGCATACTTTTTTTTACAGATAATTGTTTTTCCACTGATTTGACGTGAAGCTGTAAGATCTCAGTTGTCATTCAATATAATGAGGCAAAACAGCTTTTGTGTTTATCAAAAACTGTTTTGTTCATGTCTCCTTGCTAATAAAATGTGAATGTTGAGCAGCTTTTAAGACCGAGGAAAAGGAATGCATTTTCAGTTCAGCAAAGTTACAGAACTATAACCTCAAAGTACTGTGCCCGGAGAGCCTTTTGCACTGCAGATGCATTTATTCTCACCATTGGATAGAAGTGATTTAGGGTTCTGTCTTCTTTTCCTCTTTAACAATTTTCATACCGTGATATGAAGTGGTTGAGGCAATGCATGCAGGAACATGAGACCAGGGAAACGTAACCACCTGGCTCTCAGAGTAACAGACTTTTATGCTTAATGCTGCAGAATCCTAAACTTGGGAAGAAACATAAATGGCCAGAAAATACCCCTGCCCCTTTCTCAAATGCACACATAACTGAACCTCTGATATATATATTTTTTCTTTTGAGGTTTTCTTTTTCATTTCACCTCCTTATTTTACTCAGACTTTCTCCCTACTGAGTTGGCTTTTGATCTGATCATTATATTTCCCTAAATTTAAAGACACAATACAAGATCATTCCCACCTGTCATTACTTCTTGTGCCTATCTTCTTGACCCTGTACCAGTAGGGTATATCTTTGAGTTAATAGGTTGTCTCATTCTATTTTCTTGTTTACTGGCCTTGGAACTGTAGATAGTTGATGCCATGGCAGACGGTGTTTAGAAGTACCTTCCATATCCATGAAAGAGGGATATTTCTATGAGAGCACAGATGCATAGCCCATAGGCTGGGTAGAGTGCTGAACTTAGTCGCTCAGCCATGTCTGACTCTTTGAGACCCAGTGAGCTGTTGCCTGCCAGGCTCCTCTATCCATGAAATTTTCCAGGCAAGAATACTGGAGTGGGTTGCCATTTCCTTCTCCAGGGGATCTTCCTGACCCAGGGATCGAACCAATGTCTCTTGCATCTTCTGCATTGTCGGGCAGATTCTTTACCACTGAGCCACTTGGGAAGTCACAGTGAGGTCTCTGCAAATGTCACACTGAAGAGATAATAGTACCAAGAAGTGTCCTCCACCATCCCTTGGCCTCCACATGCAGCACAGCCCTGATTCATGGAGGTAACCCTGCACCTCAATGCAATCTCTGAGAAAATAGGGCTGAAATGACCCTGAGGTGGCTTAGATAAAGTTTCTGCTCCTGGAGAAATAAGGACTCTAAGCAGAAAGAAAGTCAGTTATATATATATATTTTTTTTACCAGATTATGTGTACTCAGACTTTTACTGGCTGTGTTTATACTGTTATTAATAAAACTGGGAAAGATTTGAAACCTTCACTCTCAAATAATCAGCAGGCAGGGAACTTAGCTCAGTGCTCTGTGAGGACCTAGATGGGTGGGATGAGCGTGGGTAGGAGGAAGGTTCAAAAAGGAAGGGATATGTATTTATGTATAGCTGATTCATTTAGTTGGATGGCAGAGACTAACAGTATTGTAAAGAAATTATACTCCAATAAAATTTATTTTTAAAAAAATAGTCTGCAGAGCTGCCCACGGAAGAAACTTTCTCTAAAAGCACCCAGCACCATTTTAAGTGACAGTAACATAAAGAAGGGGAGATAAATTGAGAGATTGGGATTGACATATATACACTACTATATATAAAAATATACAACTAATAAGGATCTATTGTATAGCACAGGGAACTCTGCTCAATACTCTGCAATGAGCTATATGAGGAAATAATCTAAAAAGAGTGGCTGTAATATAACTGACTCCCTCTGCTATACCCCTGAAACTAAGACAACTCAGTAATCAACTATACTCCAATAATAAGAAACTTAATATTAAACAAAAAAATACCCAAAATTAAAGAAAATCATTTTAATCAAATCAATTTGCCCCCTAGCAAAAAGCATATCTAAATGATCTATGCAACTGAATTACTACCATTAAGCCTAAATTTATTTGTCTTAATTTCAGAGTAAAAATTTGAATAATTAGTATGTTCGGAAGCAGCAGCCACACCTCTTCTAATTGTCTTACTTGTCACTGATTCTTTCAGTAGAGACCTGTTGTTGAGCATGCTACTCACACCTGTTCAGAGTAGTCAGAAACCATTTTGCTGCTCTGAAGCATTGTTTGAATTAATAAAAACTAGTATATTTTGTTTTTTGATAATTTAATATTTTTCATCTCTGCGCTTAATCTGCACTAAGTTTCCATTGAAAAACTCAATGAAAATGTTATACCTGTGAGATGGAAAAAATGGAAAGAAAACGTAATACATATGAGATGGAAATCGTTACTTGGGTTTGATTCCTATCTTTATGAATGAGTGAAAGGATCACTAAAAGAGTGAATGCATTTATAAATGATGGAAGGTTTGGCAGTGTTTATCATTATCTAATCAACTAGACTGAATGCTTGTGCCAAGCATTACACTTAAGCTTTGGTCAACTGTCCATTTTCCCTGTCATTAATATTTTCTAAACATTGATCCAAGAATGAAAATATAATTGACCCTATTTGGAAAAAAAAATGCAGATTTTAGTATATAAAATAGAGTCCAGGATAGAGTCACAATGGGATTCCCAGCCCAAGAAACTGAAGTTACTTTAGATTGTTCTTATAATGGAGATCTGATTAATGAGAAGAGACTGTTTGCCTCAAACCCTTGGGAGCAGTTTCTTGACTCATGATTCTTGACTCATTAGTGATGATGATATAGTCAAAGAAAGAAAAGTGAAGCCGCTTAGTCATGTCTGACTCTTTGCAACCCCATGGATTGTAGCCTACCAGGCTCCTCCATCCATGGAATTTTCCAGGCAAGAATACTGGAGTGGGTAGCCATTTCCTTCTCCGGGGGATCTTTCCGACCCAGGGGTCGAACCCGGGTATCCTGCAAGTAAACTGAAGAAGAGGGCAGTCTAGAAAAATCGAGCTCGGGGAAATATA